GCTCCTTCCCGGTCCAGGTCCTGGTCCTGGTCGGGGTGAGTGTAAAAAGCAACCAATTCTCATATGGATATTTCTCTCTTCCACTTTCTCTAAAAATCAATGGAAAAATACCGAGTGAGGATTAAAAAGAAGATTTCTTACTTACAGATCCCAGAAATGGGAGGGTGGGTGAGTACAATGAGCTGGGCAAAAGGCAGTCCTTCATCCAAGGTCACAAGCCAGAAGACAGAGCAGGATAGCATTCACCTATTACTTATAAGGTGGTTAGGGAAGTGGTCACAAACTTTTTGCAGGTTTACTCTAAGTGGTTATTTTGTTTGTTTGTTTGTTTTAATCCTCACCCAAGGATATTTTTCCATTGATCTTTTAGAGAGAGTAGAAGAGAGAGAAAGACAGAGGGAAACATTGATGTGAGAGAAACACATCAATTGGTTGCCTCCTGCACGTGCCCTGATCAGAGCCCAACCAAGGTACATGGTCCCGACCGGAATTGAACCTGGGACCCTTTGGTCTGCAGGCCAGCGCTCTATCCACTGAGCCAAACTGGCTAGGGCTCAAGTGATTTTTATATATATACTAGAGGACTGGTGCATGAATTCGTGCACCAGTGGGGTCCCTTGGCCTGGCCTGCAGGATCTGGCCAAAACAGGCTCTCCAACATGAGGGGTCCCAGATTTCGAGAGAGTGCAGGCCCGGCCGAGGGACCCTACTGGTGCACGATCAGGGCCAGGGAAGGACATGGGAGGTTGGCCAGCGGGGAGGGACCTCAGGAGGGCTCCAGGGCATGTCTGGCCCATCTCGCTCAGTCCGGATCAGCTGGACCTTAGCAGCAAGCTAACCTAAGGGTTGGAGCATCTGCCCCCTGGTGGTCAGTGCATGTCATAGTGAGCAGTTGAGCAACCTTAGCATATCATTAGCATATTATGCTTTGATTGGTTGAATGGTTGACTGGTCGACTGGACAGTTAGCATATTAGGCTTTTATTATATAGGATAGATAGATAGATAGATAGATAGATAGATAGATAGATAGATAGATAGATTTCAGAGAGAAAGGGAGAATGAGAGAGAGAAACATCAATGATGAGAGAGAATCATTGATCAGCTGCCTCCCGCAAACTTGCAACATGGACATGTGCCCCTGACCAGAATCGAATCCCGGACCCTTTAGGCCGCAGGCCAACACTCTATCCACTGAGCCAAACCAGCTAGGGCTCAAGTAGTTATTTAATTTATTTATTTGTTATTGTTATACATTATTATTATTTTTTTATTGTCTAAAGTTTTGCATATGTCTTCTTTTTCCCCAATTCACTCCCTCCTCCCCCAGCCATTCCCACCCTGGGCAAGCCCCCACTGCCCCACTGCCTGTGTCCATTGGTTATGCTAATATGCATGCATACAAGTCCTTTGGTTGCTCTCTAATCAAGTGGTTATTTTAATTGGTGCCCAGGGAAGAGCAAATTAGGAACTTGGGGTGGAAACCTGACCTCCTTATCTAAGTGTGTATGTGTATTCAAAATAATAGAAGACAGACAAAAATGCTTTCCTGTTCCGGAAAAATGTTAAGCTCTGCTGAGCCTTGATCTTTATGTGTTCAACTCTTCTTCCCACAACTGTAGGGTCCTTCTTAGGAAGAACTGAAGGACTGGGAAGGACTCAGGCCCCAACAGGCCTTCCTTGCTGCCCTGTCTTAATGGAAAACAGCCTCTAGGGCAGCGGTTCTCAACCTGTGGGTCGTGACCCCTTTGGCAGTCGAACGACCCTTTCACAGGGGTCGCCTAAGACCATCCTGCATATCAGATATTTACATTACGATTCATAACAGTAACAACATTACAATTATGAAGTAGCAACAAAAATAATTTTATGGAACTGTATTTAAAGGGCCAGAAGGTTGAGACCACTGCTCTAGGGTTTCAGCTGCCCTCATCTCATGCACATAACTTGGAGAGAAGCGAGAGGGCTCCCAGGTTTGCCTGTGGGTTTAAATCATGTTCCCCGTACAATTAAGTAGAAATACTGCGGTTCTGAAACATAAAGGCGCTGCCCACAGTTCTCCCCAAGTGGCATCTATTAGAGGCCCCTGCGATAAACGGTGTGCTGGTTCTCCTTCTCTGAGTTTGTGGAGGTTCAGTGAGTCCTGAAGAATTTATCCAAATACAGCAGGTGGTATTAGCGACGGCACAGACACCATCGCTAATGTACCATCAGGAGAAAGTCTGTTGTCTAAAATAACCTCCGCAAGAGAATGTAAAGATTTTTCTTGAACAGCTGATGCTTTGGCAGTACATTCAGTAATTTCCCCTAAAGTTCTAGACAAATTTCTGACAATATATTTACTTACGCTGAAACCGACCATGGAATAAAATTCTCAAAAAATCTCATTTCTTCATTGTCAGAAACACTCTCAGGCAATTCTAGTTGTAATCTGTGATGTAAATGTAAGAGTGATGTCCAATACTGAGTCTCTGATTAAATGTGTAATGAAATGGGCATAATCAATGATCTGACTACGTAAAACCTTCCAAGTTGGTAAGGATTTAAGCAATGTGTCCCCCATAGATTTTTCTGCCAACTGCAATTAAAAATTAATCCCAAAGGGGCACAGATCATGGAGGTAGGCTAACAAGATTGATTGAATCAAGACTGAAAAATGTGAGCAATTAAGAAGGTGGGTGGAGTTAAATTGCATTGGTGTAAGTAGCAAAAATTGCAAAGGAACAACTGTTGAAACCTGGGATGCTCACTGTTGCATGTTATAAATGTTACCTCTTACATCTCTGTAGGTTTGATTGGTTAGGTGAGAAGTTCTAGAAGGAGTCCAGGAAAGTCTCACCCAATATGTAGGTTTAATATTACCATTGGTATTCAGAGTTAGGGGAGAAATGGTTGAGAAATTGGTAGTTACACATTGTAAAGGAGTTTTAGGTTCCTGAACAGAGAGAGGCTTTTTCTTTTTTTTTTTTTTTTTTTTTTTTTTTTTTTTTTTAAATATATTTTATTGATTTTTTACAGAGAGGAAGGGAGAGAGATAGAGAGTTAGAAACATCGATGAGAGAGAAACATCGATCAGCTGCCTCCTGCACACTCCCCACCGGGGATGTGCCCGCAACCAAGGTACATGCCCTTGACCGGAATCGAACCTGGGACCTTTCAGTCCGCAGGCCGACGCTCTATCCACCGAGCCAAACCGGTTTCGGCAAGAGAGAGGCTTTTTCTGACAAATCCAACAGTTTGTCAAAATTGCTCCACTTGCAAGGGATTGGGATATGTGAACTAGGCAGTTATCCTTCCAGGAGAAACGAAAAAGAAAAAGGAAATAACTATTGTAGCAAGTGTTTGGTCTCCTATACTATATTCCTTGTTTGAGGGATAGAAAGAGATTGCTCAGAATATATGCAAAAAGAAAAGAAGTCCAATAATTAGCATTGTAGTTGCAATGTATTCTACAAAGAAAGGATTCCTGGGATACAGTCCAAAACCAATTAATAAGGTGATCATGTTTTAGTAGGGCAAGTAGCATAAGACAGGCAATATTCCAAAAGTTTCCTGAAAGGTAGGCATCTAAATTTCAATACCAACACATACTGCAAAAGAGCTTTTGAAACCTGGCTCTTAGGCATATAAGAGTTTCCAGACTAATTAACACATCTATCAACTTTGTTAGTGTGTGTGTGTGTGTGTGTGTGTGTGTGTGTGTGTGTGTGGTGAGAATGCTTAAGATCCACTCTCTTAGCAATTTACAATTGCACAATGCAGTATAGGTATATGAAACCATCATGTAATCTTCACATTTTTATTAGTGAATTACAGCTCAATAAAGCTGGGGGTGGGGGAGGGGAAGGATTTTCAGATGCATCTCAAAACTGATCTAAATTAAATTTCCTTCCAGTTGTACACCTGAGAATATAATGGCCACATCTCACACCCTGTGGTCAGAGAAGAGCCCTTACACCCCGGCTAGGGCTTCTGCAAGTTCCCACCAGAGCCAAGTGCTCTGGGATTCTTACTAAAAGGACCAAATGAGAGGAGATGCGGAAGGGATGGATGGGTAGAAGGCTCAGTGCCGTCAAGGATCAAAGATGAAAATGGAGCCAGACACTTCATTACAGATAGTGAGGTCATATTAAGTGCCCATGTGTCTAAACAAAGCTCACAGTTCCATGACTGACCTCATAGCCTTACACCAAGCCCTAGGATGTAAGACCCTCTTGTTCTGTCAACCAAGTGTTAATGAATAAGGAGGCTGTGGCTGAAAATACATGGTAAAGATTTCTTCAAGTGTTTTTTAGTTTTCAAAGTGGAAACACAGACAAAATCCCAGGAGTGTTCGTTCCAACGAAGTTATGAGTTCTCAGAGTAAAGTCACATGGTAGAGAAATATCTGCTGCATTCTTAGCCCTGGGATTGGCCCAGGAGGCTTATCAGACAGATGTCAGGGGGTCTGGAGAAGGGATGCCAGGTGGCCTGGAGGATGGGCGCCAGGAGGTCTGGTGGCCTCCTGAGTCCTTTAGAAGATAATCGCAGGGTTATCTGTCAGTAAACAAATGTCAGGCTATTGCACAGGACTGGGAACTTCAGAAGTTTACGTTCCCAGGCGAGTTAAGACAAGAAAAAGGATCATTTCTTCATGCCTGCCTCAACCTTCATAATATTAATAATGTAACAGCTTGATTAAAATGACTGCACTATGTATTTCCCTATCACTCTTTCCCTCGGTTTCCATCAGTTCTGGCCTGGGCCACCCTCTCGTCCCTACTTACCCGCTGCATCTGGAAGTTGAACCAGGAATGCTTTGTGCTCAGAGAGAGCTGGGGAAACAACGGGCAGCCCGGGCCAGGAAAAACTAAGGTCTTTAAAGTCCAACGCGCCAGGCGGGGTCAGGTTCCCGCCCACCTGCTGGGGCTTGTTCTGTAGGAGAACAGCGTCCTCCGGGCGCCGGTGGGTCAGGCCTGCGGGGCGTGGCCTGGAGCACTGCCTGTGTGGGGCACCGCCCCGGCGGTGGCGGGGCAGTGACAGCGGGCCTGCGGGTCCCTCTCTGCTCCGGGCGCACTTGGGGTCTGCTGTCGCCTGGCCTTAAAGATCCCGGGCGGTCCTGCCAGAGCCTCTGTCCAGCTGTGATCGGCCCCGGTTGTGGAAGGACTCAGGGAGACCCAGGAAATCTAGAAATGGTGAGTGTGCGGGGCCGTGTACCGGGAAGAGGGTGAGGGGCGGGCTGATCGGACCCGCGGTGGCGTGGGGGCCTCCCGCCATCGCTTCCCGGGTCTGTGGGTCTCGGTCCCCTCCCGCACGCAGCGTCTGGGCTGGGCGCACAGCGGGACCCCGGCGCCCTGTCCCGTCTCTGCGCGCGGATCTTCGGCCCCGGAGCCTCGGAGCCCGGCTGGGCACCTTTGCGCCCCGCGTCTCCCCAGATGGTGCGGGGACCACGGGGAGGGTCGTCAGGGGACGATGGTGACTCAGTCTGAGGGGTTCCAGTGTGAGAGGAGCTGTGATCTGTGGGATACCCAGTCCCTTCTTCCTCCCCTAGCGTGACTGTTTTCTCCTTTGTTTCCCAAATGTTTGTTGTTGTTTTTTGGGGGGTGAGTCTCAGATTCAGGAAACTCTGCCACAGGCTAGCCTTTCCTGTGAATGTCAGTAAGTCCCTAAATATTCGAATCCTCCTCGCTTTCCCAAGCCCACTCCCCTCTTGGAGCCACAACATTAGGATGACTAACTCTGTCCTCAGGGATACATTTCAAACAGACCCACTATTTCAATATTTTATCCTTTTCCCAGAGTTAAGTGACTCGTTTTTTAAAAATATATATATTCTTATTGATTTCAGAGAGGAAGGAAGAGGGAGAGAGAGATAGAAACATCCATGATGAGAGAGAATCATTGATCAGCTGCCTCCTGAATGTCCCCTACTGTGGATCAAGCTCGGAACCAGACATGTGCCCTGACCAGAATCAAACCCGGGACCTTTCAGTCTACAGGCCTATGGCTCTAGCCACTGAGCTAAACCAGCTAGGGCATGACTCATGTTTAGAGATTTATATTTGTTGTGGATGTTTTATAGGAGGAAAAGCCTAGACTAGTCACCTGGAAGGCGTTGTATGAAATCCCTGTCCCTCTTTCCTCAGGATCTTCTCTGGAAGTCCTTTGGGTGGAGGCTCCTGTTTGAAAGGTTTTCGGGTGCTGTGTTCTGTCAGCACCGGCCTGCCCTGAGCCTCCTTGATTTAGTCACTCATTTAAGTTTATGTTCTCCCCAGGGGTGAACTATTTTGAATCATTAGACTTGGAAAGACAGGATAAAATATCTCCAAAGAGCAAGGAGGGAAGTGAATTTCAGAAAAAAACATTCTAAGATTACATTCCATGTTTACAGAATTCTTTCCGTCTTTCTTCCCTGAGTGTATAGTAAGTCCCCGAGGCCTGTTTTCCACTTCCTGGTGTTTTCAAGTAAAATCTCAGGGCTTACCTTTGCAGGGCAACTTCCAAGTGTTCAAGTCTGATTAACTATTTGCAAGACTAGTAATTTCCGTGCAAATAATAATTAACTTTTTTTCCCCTGAAAGGAATAGGTATTTGTGGTTTTGTTTTTTTAGTTGAACCAGTACAAGTGCATCACAGTTTTCTTTCTTTCTGCATACAAGCTGGCTTTAAGTCATTTTGCTGGATTGTTCAAACGCTGGGCTTGTGTCATTTAAAATATCAACCACGTTCCACAAGGTTGCTGTGGCTCAGTGGTCGACCCGTGCACCAAGAGGTCGCTGGATGGATTCCCAGTCCAGGCATATGCCCGGGTTGTAGGCTGTTGGGTGCAGGCTCAATCCCCAGGGGTAACGTGCAGAGATGGCCAATCAGTGCTTCTCTCTCATTGATGTTTCTCTCTCCCTCTCTCCCTTCCTCTCTATTTAATATCAATAAAAACATTTTGTTGTTGTTTTGTTAATCCTCACTGGAGGATATTTTCCCATTGATTTTTAGAGAGAGTATAAGGGAGGGAGGAGGAAAAGAGAGAGAAGGAGGGGGGAGAGAGAGAGAGAAAGAGAGAGAGAGAGAGAGACATTGACATCCCTCTTGCCAGTCCAGCCACGACGCTGTGTGCGGGGACTGATGTCTGCAGACCCCGGAGGTGATGGTGCGGTGAGGGCGGCTTGCCACCCTGGTCTGACCCTCATCCTCCTCTCCATATGCATCGATTGGTTGCTTCCTGCACGCTCCCTGACCCAGGCCAGGGATGGAACCTGCAACCGAGGTAAGAGGTATATTCGACTGGCAATTGAACCCGAGACCCTTCGGTCCGAGGCCAAGGCTCTAACCACTGAGCACCCAGACGGGGCATAAAAGCATATTAAAACAAATCAACCATGTTCCAATGAAACTCCAAGGTGGAGCAGAGACCTGAGGTCAGTGACCCCCCCTTGAGCCTGCCAAGGGAAGTACTTGGAGGCCCACTGGTCCTTCCTGGGGAGCCTCCCCCTGCAGGTGTCCTACCTGCTCACACCCAACAGGGAAGGAGCCTTTACACTGAGAAGCTACAGGCCTGGAAAGCTGAGGGTGCAGGTGAACAGGAGGGGGAGTGGGGATGCGGCCCTATCTAAGGCTGTGATTTCTTAACTCTAGACAGTTTTAGATTCTATGTTTGAGTTTTGCATCCCCAGTGTGTGGGTGCACTCAGAGTGTCATTTGTGCACGTTGAGAAAGTCTGTGAAAGTGAGGAGCCGGTGTCCTGGGTTAGGGATTGTGAATTTGGGAGTTCATTTAGGTCAGAACCTGACACTGAATCCAACTGAGCACTTCCTCACTGTGAGCTGAAGCCTGAGAGAGGGAGCATTTCTGTTATTCCCCGGGGAGAGGAGGGTGTTGGAGCTCCCAGACTTCACTCCTGGGGCTGCTCAGATGTCCCTCCCTTCTTCCCCAGGGACTGGCCCACTCCAGGGGTTCTGTCTCAACCTGGAGAGTCTAGGATGTAAACCTTCTGAAAGTGGCTCTCCTTCTGTCCTGTGGGAAGCAGGCTGCTCATCTGAGCCGATTTCAATACTTATTTCTTTCCTTTGGATCCTTTATCCACTGAACACTGCAGCCTTTCGTGCTACTTTCCCTGAGCACTTTGTAATTCCATTCCCTGTGTGAGAAATAACACTTTCAGTGTTTTGGACTTAAAAAATGTAAATTGAGACCTGGCCTTTGTGGGTTGATTCCTGGTCAGGGCACATACCTAGGTTGTGGGTTTGATCCCTGGTTGGGACCTGTGCAGGAGGCCACGGATCGATGTTTCTATCTTACATCAATGTTTCTCTCCCTCTCTCTCTCTCACTCTCTCTCTCTCTTATCATTAAAAATAAATTTTTTAAAGAGTGAATAAAATTAGTTGAATCAAACAGGATTTTTGAAAAAAATGCAAATTGATTGAGAGATCATGTTAGTAAGGCAAGTAAATAATGGAACTAAATAGAAGGCAAGTAAATAGTGGAACTAAATAGAATTTTTGGTACCGTCCAGGCTAGAAAACCTCAAGATGTGAGATTAAGCTCTCAGGCCCATTTTTTCTTTTTATATCGGTGTTTTTAATTCATATGAGGAAAACTATCAAAACTTTTGTAAATGTTTGAAAAATTTACTATGTTTAAACAGCTAAACCCAAACCCAAATTGTGTCATAATATGCTACATATTTCTGAAAATACCTTATGTGAGATTAAGGGACAGGACAAACTAGGATGCAACTTGTCTTTTAGTTAGCAAGAGATTTAATTTTTTTCATTCGTATGGTTTACATTTTCGTAATCATTAGTATTTAAAATAATTGAATCTTAGAATGGTTTCCTATGTTAAAAAGTTGTAATTAAAGAAATACTTGCCCTAACCGGTTTGGCTCAGTGGATAGAGCGTCAGCCTGCGGACTGAAGGGTCCCAGGTTCGATTCCGGTCAAGGGCATGTACCTTGGTTGTGGGCACATCCTCAGTGAGGTGTGTGCTGGAGGCAGCTGATCAATGTTTCTCTCTCATCGATGTTTCTAACTCTCTATCCCTCTCCCTTCCTCTCTGTAAAAATTAATAAAATATGTTAAGAAAAAGAAATAGTTGTAGGTAGTAAAACACGGTATATATAATTTTCTGTGTTTACCTTAAATCTGTAAGATAAAAATGTCTAACTTAAGAAAACTCACTGCCCACATATCCTGGTTTCTCCAAAAATGTTACTCCAGCCACTCCCAAATACAGTTTTCATCATTTCTTGAGCATCTTGTTGGTGTTTTTTGTTTGTTTGTTTGTTTGTTTAGTTTAAAAACAAGGCATTGCAAATGCATTTTGTTCTTCTCCATGTTTGTCCTTATAATGAGAAGTCATATTCCACATTGTTTGGTATTTGCTGACAACTTAGGCCTCCTCCTCTCTCTTCCCTGTGTCCACACCAGGGCAGGCTGATAAGAAAAGTCGGGACTCCCTCCTCTGGCACTGGCTTCAGATTCCAACCACACAAATTCATCTGTGTGCAGAATTCTTGCCCTGGCTCCGCCCCTGACAAAGATTCTTTGCTTGAACAGTTTTAGTCAGGCTCCTGAACCTCCTCCCAGGCCTATCTTTGCATGTCCTTGTAAAACTCAGTTTTAGCAGGTACCCTGCTAAGTTGGGTTAACCAGAATCCTGCACCCTCCTATCTGACCACCCTCCATATCTGATCAGGTTCCTCCTCCTCCAGCATCAGGTGATGCCTGGTCCCCCTGGCCTGTCTGCTGTAAGACTCCTGTTTGGTCAGTTTAGCAGGTACCCCTGTACCCCTGATTTTTCTCTCAGGAATTTTCCATCCACTGACCCCCACCCTGCTCTCTGGCCATGAAGTCTCACTTGCCCATGCTGTGCTCAGAGTTGACTTCAATCTTTGAAAGAGCCCTTTCTCACCCACTGCAAAACCCCACAGCAGCCATCTCTCTACCTATCACAGTGGTTCTGAACAAATTCTGCCTTACTATCTTTTTTAAAAATATAAATATATTTTATTGATTTTTTACAGAGAGGAAGGGAGAGGGATAGAGAGTTAGAAACATCGATGAGAGAGAAACATCGATCAGCTGCCTCCTGCACACCCCCTACTGGGGATGTGCCCACAACCAAGGTACATGCCCTTGACTGGAATTGAACCTGGGACCCTTCAGTCCGCAGGCCGACGCTCTATCCACTGAGCC